CTGCTTGAATCTAGAAGGGAAAAGCTGGGGCGGTCCTGGACACAGTCACAGCTGCAATGTCAGAGACAAGCACTGAGGAGTGCCAGTTCTCTGCAGCTGGAGGAGGCAGACCATGCCTTCCACCAGACAAACCTAACGGAATCAGAGTGATTTTATTCCTGCATGTGTGCGGAGACAGCTTCTGGAAATTCACAGGATCATTAGAATAGTTAGGTTGGAAGGGACCTTAAAGATAATTTAGCTACAACCCCACTGCCATGGGCAGGGAACCTTTTACTACACCAGGTTGCTTAGAGCCCCATCCAGCTTGGTCTTGAACACATCCCAGGATGGGGAGTCCATAATCTTCCTCGGCAACCTGCTCCAATGTTTCAGCTCCCTCACAGTGAGGAATTTCTTCTAAACCTACCCTCCTTCAACTTAAGTGCATTCCCCCTTGTACTGTCACTACACACCCTTATAAAAAGTCCTACTCCATCTCTCTTTTAGGCCCCCTTTAGGTACTGGAAGTTGCTATAAGGTCTCTCCAGAGCCTTCTCTTCCCCTGGCTGAACAACATCAATTCACTCAGCCTGCCTTCATGAGTGAGTTGTTCCAGCCCTGTGATCAACTTAGCTGCTCTTCTCTGGAGTCTTTTCGACAGGGCTCTGTCTTTCTTGTGTTGGGAGCCCCAGACCTCAACACAGTACTCCAGGTGAGGTCTCACAAGGTCAGATTACAGGGGAAGAATCGTTTCCCTTGGTCTGCTAGTCTCTTTTGATGACACATAGGACATGATTGGCTTTCTGGGCAAAAGCTAGGAATAAATACCTCCAAGTAAACTCAGGCAACCCTTTGTCACTTTCCAACTAAAAATACATGTAAAATGTTATTCAGAAAAGATTTGCTTTGCAATAATATAATGAACAATTTTGCTGAAGCACTGCAAAAGTCTGCACATTAATGTCTTGCCAGTAATAAGATTTTTTTCCGTGGTCACTAACAGAGCCATCTGGTTTAACAGTCTTATTCCATGTCTGTTTAGACACAATTTCATTTCTAACCTTCTGGTGAACTTAATGGAAAGACACAATTGGCTGGTTTTAATTTACATTCTAAACACACTACATGACAATTGAATAGAAGAAGTTGTTTCGATCTTGAGTTATAACTAACATAAATATCTGCAAAATGTATGCATCTAATTTTCTATGCATTTGGCTTTGATTGATAAATATATACACGTACAAAATGTTGATGTATATATTAAAAATAGATTATATACCACTTTTTTAATTATTTAACAATAAAAATATTCTAATTACAATATAAAAAGCTCATGTCAAGGGATTCACATTTCTCCATGGGATATTTCTCATGTATTGTACCATGGCAATGAACCTTTAAGGAATTTTGTAAGTAAATCTGGCAAGAACATTGATTGTGAATTTATTTTTCTTATAATTTGTGCATGTTTTCTTTCTCTTTAGAACTTCTGCCCTTGTTAGATGAGGGATTTGAACAATTCTTTTTACAAGTATGCCACAGATTCTGAGGTCAAAAGTTTCCAAAGTTTCTGTGTGGAAATATGGCAACTGTATCAAAAAAATATACAGAAATTTTCATGGCCATGTACAAGAAAAGGTTGGGAGCGCATACCAATTCCTTGTGAGAACTCTCAGAAGTATGTCCTTCTGCTAAAACTTGACCAAGAAATCCAATATTATAATTATAGTGACAACTAAGCATGGGATTTTAAAGGAAGATAACAGGGGTTTCACCACCCCCATCACAGCATGCTAAGGCCGTATGTGCTACTTTGTCATAGAACTGAATTATGGCTTCTCCCTATAAAATTCAGATCAGCACTCTCATCCAACCAAATCTGTTTACACATCTAGACTACGAATTAAGAATGAGCCTTTTCTAGAAACAATTAGTAGGAGACAATGCTTGCTTGTGAAAAAGTCTGGAGGGTACCAATAACTAGATCTGATCTTTAAGACAGTCTAAATGATTCACATTAGAAAATATATAAATATAGTAATTTTTTTTTTCCTCTGGCCATGGCAGTCTGGTTCTGCACTATTTTGCCAAGTTATGTAGTCCAAGTTCATAGAGATTCATCATTTTGCATTAAATCTCAATTCCCCAGATTAAAAGATCTGAAAATAAATACGACATCAGTAAGTAGAAAGAGAAACTATGCCCTCAGTTTGGAAGGGAAATCCATTTACAAACAATGGTCATGAAGATTCAAGAAAGAGCAAAAAAGCTTTCTTCCGTTTTTCTCACCTGGAGTATATATCTCAGCCACAACAGTGGAGGTTAGTGGTGGTCCAATTTTTTAACATCCTGCTTTTTTCCTGGATAATAGAAAGAATATTTGGCAATCAGGTAATCTGAACCAGGAAGTGAGGATCCATAAGGATCACAGCCTCGTCCAAGTTTCATAACACACACACACACACACACACACACACACAAGCAGAATGACCAGGTTCTTCACTCTTCAAAGAAGGCTTGCAATTATGTTCAATGGAGTGCATAATTGTGCAGTTCAGAAAGCAAATAAATAAGAAATATTATTATAATCAGTGTTTTCTCTGAGTAATATAATAAGTCAGAAGACTGGTAACGATCAGTATTCAATATCAGTTTTACATTTGTAAATACTACTAATTTAAGCTTGTGTAGTTGTTCTTCCAGAAATATCTCCATTGTGAATATTTCTTGCATCAGTTTATAACAACCATCCTGCTTCTACAAGAACAAAATGTCCTGAAAAGCAAATATGATTTTAATGTTGCCTCTTGAAGAGTATGTGACATCGGCATTTACTGCACTCATCCCTGCAAGTACTAATAGGAGTAGTTGCTGCTAAGTGTTCCCAACTAAGTCCTTCAGCATCACTATGAGAATAAAATCCTTCTGCTCTGGAGAAAATAAATTTAAATAATGTAAGTTTACTAAACTCTGCCCTAATTACACATAATGTTAAATGGCAATTACAGAAGATGCAAAACAAGCTTCAAATGATATTTATAATCTTATTTTTTTCTTTTTTCCCTAAAATCTATTTAATAAATCATGTATAATAATGATTTATTTTTAATTTTTATAATGTGTTCAAGAAAAAAACCCTAAGCAGATAAAAAAAAGATAGTATCTACCATGTGTAACCATGACAACTCCAAATCCAGATGTAAAATGGCTGTCTTGCTGCTAAATTCTCATGAGAAAGAAAGCTGTTAGCTCTTTTTGACTTACAGGTCCAGAGGAAGTGAGATAAAACAGAAAATTAGTATAGATTTGTGTTGTTTCACTAAATGTTCTTCCAATGTTACCCAATCTGGTATAAAGTGGAATGTCACTAAAACACATGTAATAGGTAGCAGATAACAGAGACTTTTTTCCATGTCCATGACCCAGCTCAACAGCATTTGCATAAATCAGAGAAAAGCGGAGGTATGGGAAAATATATGTTAGTACATAGAGTAGCTACTGTGATGAGGAAGATCTCCTCTGGAAATGTTTTGAGAATCTGGAAGTCCTTTGATTTTGGGAAAAGACTTCAGCCACACCCAAGTGCCAGGTCCTGCAATTGGATCACAACAAGCCCATGCAGCACTACAGGCTTGGGGAAGAGGTGCTAGAAAGCTGCCTGGGGGAAAAGGACCTGAGGGTGTCAGCAGTGTGCCCAGGTGGCCAAGAACACCAATGGCATTCTGGCCTGTATCAAAAACAGTGTGGCCAGCAGGACCAGGGCAGTGATCATAATGCTGTACTCGGTACTGGTGAGATTGAGGTCCTGGAGTGAGTCCAGAGAAGGGCAATGGAGCTGAGGAAGAGTCTGAAGCACAAGTCATATGAGAAACAGCTGAGGGAGCTGGGGTTGTTTAGCCTGGAGAAAAGGCGAGTGAGACCTTATCCCTCTCTACAACTGCCTGAAAGCAGCTTGTAGCCACATGGAGGTTGGCCTCTCCTCCCAGGCAACTAGCAACAGGACAAGAGGTAATGGCCTGAAGCTGCAGCAGGAGAGGTTTAGATTGGATATTAGGGGAAATTTCTTCAACAAAATGGTTGTCAAGCAGTGGAACAGGCTGTCCAGGAAAGTGGTGGAATCACCATCCCTGGAAGTCAAAAAATGTGTAGATATGGCAGCTGGGGACATGGTTTAGTGGTGAACTTGACAGTGTTAGGTTAATCATTGGACCAGAAGATCCTAGAGGTTTTTTCAAACCTAAACCATTCTATGATTCTATGATATAAATATTAAAGATATCATATAATATCATTATTTGATATTATGATATTATGATATCATAAAGATATAATTATTTTATACTGCCAGTCTAGATAACTTTTTTATGTAGTGGTAAGTCTTAGAAGACTCACTTATTCTGAACCTGGGTTTAGTCTTTGAAGACTCATGACAAGATTCTGTTGTCAGATTTAATTTGAAATGGAAAATATATTAAAATATATAAAACATCTACATGCATATATACACTAACACACACTATGTCACAAAGTCAATTCTGATTTATTCTTTTTTTCTATTTAACAAACATGTTCCTGATAAGTATTTAACTACTTTGGCTAACATTCTGCCCAGTGAGCACAGAGTATTGACAGAATGCAGCAAGGATGCTGACAGACTGCTTCAGCGCAGATCTAGGCTGATTCAATTACTGGCAAGAGTTTACGGTCAGAAACTGTGGACTTGCTTTTTTACATCATCAAACTTCAATTCTTATTTCCATTATGTTTAGAAAAATCCAAAGAAAAAACTAATACAGCTAGCAATGAATATACATAAGAATAAATTCAATTATAGTTTGACTATTTATGTCAGATCTGCAGCAGGTATAAATAAGCAAGGTTTCATGGAATTCAAGACAGTTATGCACACAAAATCAAGGTGCCGGATGTTCTCATATAGATTTGTGATATATTTTTAGATTAAATCATAACATCTTACCATCTCTTTGCAGAGACATATTCTGGATAGTTGTAGTGGTTTGACTCAGTGGCATTAATCCTGCAGTGGATGAGAAAGAAATAAGGCAGGGGGCAGGAGAAAGATGGTTTAATATAAACACCCATCTGCAAAAAGGACATATTGAGAAATCATGCCAAATGATGATCATTTTAGTCTAATGAGGAATAATTAATGCATAGAAATAAATAAAAAGCATCTGGCAAGATTCACATACTTTGCTAGACAATATCAAATTTGCTTGGATGAAATGGCTGAGGCATGTCCAGATTCAAGTGAACAAGGACAGTGGACATGAAATTCTGGATTTTGAGGCCATTGCTCAGTGCCTGTAACTACTCCTTCAAAAATTCTTTATCTGAAAATATAGTCCCTACTGCTGTACAGAAGTTACATTCATTTTAAGAATAGGTTTATACAAATATCTGTGTATCAGAGTTAGGAATAGGAATAGTCTGTGTAACTAAATCCAGATGAATCTCACAAGTATCAGCCATTGATTTACACTGTTCTACAGTCCCAGTGTTCCCTATATATAAAACAAGACATTTATGGAATTCCACCTGGAGACAGGTGAAGAAGTCAGGCATGATAATGAAAGAGAGAATTCAGGGAATATAAAGTTAACCTCATTTATTTTGTATATTTTTCTTAGTTTTAGAAATATATCTGAAAATAATCCTCCTAACTACTATTTCTTTTACATCATATTAGTTAAGAAAGCAGTAATATCAAATTTCATTATAGCATAAACTAACTCATGTCTGAGATTTTATTTTTAACAGTAATTTTCTAGAGCAGAAACTGAGTCATAAAGATGTGTTTCTATATCAATTCTGTCATACTCCAAAATCCGCTTTAAGCCAGATCTGCATATTGCCACCATAAGAAATGGAATATCCCTGAGTAGCACATCCTTTAAAAGAGAAAAATCAAACACAGTAGACTGAAATATTTGCTACACACATGTTGGAATTAACAGTGATTGTGAGTTAGCTGAGAGCCATCATTAAGAGGGATATGCACGCATTCTGTGTTTTTTCCTTGTAGTTCAGAGACTCAAGTGAAAATACCAAGATTAAAATTAGCATCATCAGGTTAATGATGATCAGGACTGTAAAAACAATGAGCACTTTACTTGTAACAGATAGTTGTTATGATCCAGTTATTAAAATTATTAGAAATGCCTCTGCCCAAATTAAGGTACAAATGAGACCAAATGCCAAAGTTAATAGTATGGGGGGGTTTTTTTAATGGTAAATATGAGACAGAAAAAAAAGAGAGAAAAATCGGGGGAAAGGGGAAGTTTGGGGTGGGGTGAGCAGAAGAAAGAGAGTGATAGAGAGAGATTAAAAAAGTATCCCCACTCCATGTAACCCGACAGTGTCCTGTCAGTCGGGTTCTTCTGGTCTTCTTGGTGGTAGGGGTTTCCACACAACACAGAGTTCAGTGGATTAATAGATGTTCAGGAGATGCCAGGCACCTCCCCTGGGGATGGGGGAAACTTTGCAAGTCTCTTGTGACAGGCTCTGGATGTGTTACCTCACCTGGATCACATGTAGAAGGCAGAAGGCCTCAGGAACAGGTTGGGGGGGCCTTTGGGGGTGTTTTATGGTTTATGATCCCTGCTCAGAAGCCTCTCATGTGAATGTCCCATGTGTACGTGGTCATCCCAGAGTGGAATGGGGTGGTGGTGGGGGGGGGTGTTTACTCCTTCAGTTTGGTGTGAAGAGATTTCACCACTGAACACCCAAACCCCTTCTCCTTCACCACCTTAGTTTACAAAATTAGCATTATTATTTTCAATAACTGTTTCAAGCTAACATGCTTGAGATAATACAATAGTACAAAAACAGCTAATGAAAATTTCACTGCAAGTCTGGTATACACCATTTGGCACTTCAGAGTTCCTTACTCAGTAGAGCAAGTCATGGGATTTCTAATTCACTAAAAGATATACAACCTTCCCGGAAACAGTACAAGCTCCCATGAAAAACCCATATTAGGTAAAGAATTATGTCTTGGACTTATATTTTGAAACATCACAGAAATTAGGATGTAACTCAGTGTTTATTTATGAAAAGAAAGACTAGCGTATTTTTTTTTAATTGAAATTTGACTTAGTCACACCTAATTGAAGCAACAGTAACCTTAGGCATTTGCAGGACTATTTAAATGATTCTTCTTAAGAAGGAAATTACAGGATATATGTATATGAGAAATAATGTGTGTAATTCAAAACATAATTGAAGGTCAAGCTTTACAAAAGACCTCACAGCCATTGCCCATATGAAATTTTGCTGACAGCACAATTCTCTCCTTTGACAGAGCCTTTACACCCCCACTCCATCCACAGTTCTCATCTTTCTTTTTCCCTCAACTTACTCTAGCCTTAAATAAAGGCTGAGCCTTACACAAGTACTCCTACCCTCCCTTACTTGATTTAGAAATTCTCACAGTGAAATATGCCTGAATCCCACATTTTCTTTTGGCAGCTGCTTTCCAGTCATACTCCAACTGCATCATTAGCCTCCTTCTTTCTTCCTTTCTGCCTTTATTTCTTCCTTCATTCCTTGCTTTCTATATTTCTCTCTCTCTCTCTACTCTAATCTTATCCTAAATAGGAGAACAATCTTTACAATGTATCTGTAATCAAAATATAATAATATGATTTTATTTAGGAACCAGAAAGTCTCTATTTTATAAGGTAGCCCTCAAAGTTTCCCCAGAATAGAATCACAGATCTACTCCAAGCTCTCAGGTAGAGCAGGTTGCTTATGGCTCTAGTCATTTGAATTTTGGATAACTTCACAGATGGAGTCTTCATGGGCACTCTGGGCAATCAGTTTGACTGTCCTTACAGGAAATAGGTTACTTGCTGTATTCAAACAGAACCTCCTGCCTGCTAATTTGCACCCGTTGCCTCTTGTCCTGTCAGTGACCACTAGTGAGAAGAGCTTAGCTCCCTCTTCTTCAGTCACTCCATCAGGTATTTATAAACATTCATTACAATCCCCCTGAGCTTTCACTTCTCCATGCAGAACAGTCCCATCTCTCTCAGCATCAGCTCACATAAAATGTTTCACTCACAGGACTACTCACATGTATTTTGACACATAAAATAATACCAGTACAGAGCTAAAGGAAATAGCAGAAAAATAGCAAACATTTATGACATTCAGACAGTGAAGGATTTTCCTAATAGTATAAACTGTGCACAGGCCTCCAATGGAGAAGTCCAAGAGAACAAATGGTAGTCCGTGGGATATGCTAATGCCTGAAGATTCCATAGTAGAGAACAGTTATTTTCACTGGAAGCAGCAAAGAACCATGTGACAAAAACAAGGTCCATTTGAACTGTTAAACTGTGTCTGTGCAAAGCCAAACCCAGTTTGTTCTGACTTCAGATTCAAAGATATTAGAAACACTTTACTGATGTTCCATGAATTTCAAAGAAAAAGGTTTTCCATAATCTTATATATAAGTCACACAGATACTCAGCAAGTCTTAGGTTCTAGGGGATAAAAATTATGTGAAAACCAATAAACAAATAGATGTTTAGCACTTGGCGTATGTTGTATAGATATGGCTGCACAAAATGAAAGACAACATGAGGATCAAGCCTCAATCTATAACCAAAAGGTACTATTTTACCATGTCCTTGTCCTCTGCTTTAACCTACCCACAAGTATTATTTCAGAGGAAAAAAAAAAAGGAGGCAGTTATGTTTATCTTCCATCAGAGAGATAATGACTCAGAACTTTTTCAGTTAATGTTTCAGAGTGAATTACAGCCTGAAGCTTTATGGGATTTTAATTACAGGTTATTCATAAAGATCGCATTTAAGGAAGCAAAAATAATAATAATTTTTAAAAAGCATCTTATTTAATGTATTTTAAATACTTAGTTTTGTTGATAACTACAAATGGTTTTGATTTCAGTCCTTAACACCAAGCTTTCTTTAGGAAAGTGAAACCTAGTATTTGAGATTTCAGTCACATCATCTGGCTTTAAAATAAGATTAGTTATAAAACCATGTTGTTTATTCTAATTTTCCAAATTATTAAAATATTCAGCTATTTATTGTACTCATTTTTTTTCTGTCATTTATCAAAATTGTCCTGGTTATTAAACGCTTTCAGAAAAAGTACCTTCAAAGTTATTATCTCCACGATATTTTAAAGCTAAGAAAGTCTGTCACAATTTTCTGAGGATTAAGAAAGTAGTAATTTAATCCCTAAAGATGTTCAACAGTGAGCCCCGGTAGCCCAGACACCAAACCACATCCTGGGGTGCATCAGACACTGCATGACTAGCAGGGCAAAAGAAATTATTATCCCACCTTACTCAGTGATCGTGTGGCCTCACCTTGAGCACTGTGTGCAGTTCCAGGACCCTCCATTTGAGAAGGATGTGAAGGTCCTTGAATGCATCCAGAAGGTATGGGGGGGCAACTGACAAAATGGCTGAGATGAATATCCTGTGAGGAGGAGATGAGGCCTTTGGGTTTGTCTAGTTTGGAGAAAAGGAGGGGTGACCTCATTGCTCACTCCAGTTTCCCAAGGGGGGGAAGTGGAGAAGGAGGTGCTGGTCTGTTCTCCCTGGTATCCAGTGATGGGAATGCACTGAAATGTAGTTTTACCTGGGCTTTCATGTATTTTACTTTGTGGGACTGAAGCTGGTCCCATAACTGAAGAAAATTAGCTGCTGAAATAGTGCTCACCTGGAACACATCTTCCAGTGTAATGTCATCAAAAGGAAACCCTGTTCATATCCTCTAGTTTCCTTGGAAGATTTATGAGAACAATAGACAGATTTCACAGCTGAAACACAGTCATTAAGTGTATATCCTAAAATTAGATACATCTTTAGGTAGCATGATAGGGCTTAACGATGACAGACTTTCAAAAAATGAGTCTGTGATAAGTCAATCATAAGTATGAGAGTTCACTACCTTGAAAAAAAAAAAAGCATCATTCTAATATTTAGGAAGAGCATGACTGCTTTTGGTTTGAGTTTCATTATCACTACAAGCTAACAGC